CTGACTCAAACTGAGTCCAGAAGAGAGTCTAGGTGAGCCTGAGTCATAGGAATCCGAGATTCAAAAAATTCAATGATGGGGCTGGAGAGATGGCTCAGAGGTTAAGGGCACTAGCTGTTCTTCCAGAGGATCCTGGTTCAATGCCCAGCACCCACATGGCAGCTCACACCTATCTGAAACTCCAGTTCCAGGGTTTCTGATACCCTCACACAGACATACCTGCAGGTGAAACACCAATGAACCATCCTGAATTCTTTCCTGCCTCAGTTTCCCTCAGTGAGATGTATAAGCCAAACAAACAGTTTTCTCTGTAAGCTGCTGTGGAACATGGCCTTTATCATAGAAACAGAAAGCAAACTAACACACCCTGCTCCTTTTTGTAAATGTCCCTTCTCCCTTTCCCTTATTCAAACTCCAAGCCCAGGCTGCCCTTTGTCTTTTCTCCTGTGAATTCTAACTTCTACAAATTAAAGCCTGCCTTTCTCTTACTAACCTCGGCTGTGTAATTCACAAGCAGCCAAGGACTAAATTTAAGAAGCCCTGGAGAGCTTTTCCTCTTCAGCCATGGGAAAGATTGTTTTCATAAAGATGAATGTCAGGAAGGAATGAGGATCAGAGAAATAAACAGCGGAAACACTCACTTGTGATGGGAATAAGGTCTTTCCTGAAGGGCTCAAACGTGTTTGTGTTAAAGGAAAGTCTCTAAAACAAAACCAAGCATCTCTTCAGTGTTCTCAACAAAGGAATAGAGACTCTCCGGCTGAGGAAGTGAAGTGACCACAGTAATGCCATCTTGTCCTGACTCCCTTTGTATTTGCTTAGGCACTTCTCAGTCCTCTCCCTGCCCACCCCCAACCCTGTCAGGGGCATCCCTGCTTATACACTGAAGGCCTAAAATCAGCCATAGGCCTAAAATCAGCAATAGGCCTGTCATACATGTATACTAACACCAAGTCTTGAGTCTCTGTGGAAAACACTGAAACAGATGCCTAGAAGCTATTGTAAACAAGCAGCTTTGGTGGAAAATTGCCAGGCTAAATAGCCATAGACCTTGTAGATAGGTAGCCTTGGTGGATAGTACCAACTTAGATAAGGACAAGTGAATCATAGTCAGAGTCATAGTGACATGTCCCCTGAACCTTCATCCAGCTGACACTCTGTTCTGGAAGATATCTGTACTCCCCCTGAACACCCACACTCCTACGTCATCCCCTTCCCCACATCCTGCCTTTTTTGTGTATATAACCTGTGTGTGAAAAAGTAAAAATTACGATCTGATCAGACTATAGACAGATCATCATTTCTTGCATTCACCTGTTTTCCCCCATCTTCTCTTTCAGGTGACCTCCCCGGACCCCTGTTTAATGCCCTGCTGGACAGGACACAACCCCACAATGGTGGCATCTACCCTTCCTACACATCTGAGTCTTCTGTGGCCTTGACCACTGTCCAGATGTATAAACCAAAATAATTTATGTAAACTAAAATAACTGAAGAAGGCATAAGTTAAAAGTAACTTTCTTATTAAGTCTGAAAAAATCACTATGTTCTGCCAGAAATGAATGTTTCAAGGTTACTCTGTTATCTGACTTTGATGTGAGCTGTGGTCTTTGTGGGTTTGCTGTTGTGGTAATTATTTAAGACTGCCTCTGGTTCATCCGACTATCTAAGCTGCAGCGGCTCTGCCTAGCCCAGCCACCATGTTTCTCAGCCTGAGGCCATGTGTGCGCTGCAGATAGAACCCGCCCGCCAGAAACACCAGCCCTGCCACCTACAAGATGCCAGCGTGAGAGATGGCTCTGCCAACCTTCCATGCAGTCTCTGCAAGGCAGAACATTGCCCAGACCATTCTGTCATCCATGCGGGCCCAGTAAGAGAATGAGACTCTAATTCTTATAGATTAATCAAAGGCTTTATATGTTTGATAATGATTAATAATAAGATGCCCATACAAAGAGAGTTGTATCCCAATTAGCTGTTGGGAGCCGACTCTTAGCCGAAAGTGGCTATCATCTTTACAGCCATCTTGAGCCATATACCCTGACAAGAGACTTGTTTCAACAGCCTGCAATAGCTGAGCGCACTCTGATAAACATCTTGTTACACTGTTTAGTGCCCCCAGCTGCCAGGTGCTCCTGGTATCCATGGCTACAAGGCACGTGACGTAGTGGCTTCAGTTGAGATTGTCCACGAGGGCAAGTCACGTGGTAAAGGGTATAAATACCCAGGATTTCCCTTCTATAGGGGAGTAGAAGAGTAGAGGAGTAGAGGAGTCGAGGAGGAGTAGGGAGGAAGAGGTAGAGGTAGTAAGTAGTAGGAAGAAGTAGAGGAGTAGAGGAGACTGAAGGAGTGAGAATATAGTAAGAAGAGAGGAAAATAAAGAAGACTTGAAGAGACTCCACCGGACTCTGGCTTGTATCTATCTTTTGCGTCTCTCGCCCCTTTTTTCCCCTTCCTCCGTCCCCACTTTCTCTCTTGCTAGACCCTGACCGACCGGAGCAGCAGAACCGGCCGGCCTTTACAAAGTAACAGAACCTGACGGCCGTTACAAAAGAAACGGCCGTTACAATTAGCTAACCTAATTATAAGTTTATAAGTTGTTCCCCATGAGTGCTCTCAATACCTGTGTGGTTCTCCATCTTCCTATATCTCTGCCCTCTCTAGCTCCTCCTCTTCCTTTTTTCTCTTGCTCTCTCAACTCCTCCTCTTCCTCTCCTTACTCCTCCCACCTTAGCTCCTCCTACAGTTTGCCTTTAAAAACACTGTACCCCGACACCAAGAAACTCTGAAGCATAGGCCAGAACTTGGACATCCACTAATAAAGGACTTGTGTTGGTTTTGGTTTTTGAGACAAGGCCTCTCTGTGTAGCCTTGGTTGCCTGAAACTTGATTTGTAGACATGGCTGACCTCATAACTCACAAGAATCCACCTGCCTCTGCCTCCCAAGTGCTGGGAGTAAGGTGTTCGCCACCACCGGCCCACTGACTCACATACTTTTAATTGGCTTAACTGGGGCCGGTGTATCTTTCTCCAGTGGGATATTTTAGCAGCAGGAGTGCCTGCATGAGGATGTCCACCACCCTCACCAGTTGGAATGAGAAACTTGAAGGACTGCGGTTGATGTAAGCAGAGCATGAAACAGGAACGTTTATTTCGCTTTTTTTTTTTTTTTTTTTGTTTTTGTTTTTTGGTTTTTCGAGACAGGGTCTCTCTGTGTAGTCCTGGCTGTCCTGGAACTCACTCTGTAGACCAGGCTGGCCTCGAACTCAGAAATCCACCTGCCTCTGCCTCCCAAGTGCTGGGATTAAAGGCGTGCGCCACCACTGCCCGGCTTATTTCGCTTTTTTATCCAATTTTTCCTGTAATTCTGCCCATGTAACCTAAGACAAAGCCTGGTGCGAGGGGTACAAACCCAATCACAGGGGCCCCTGCAGGTGGCGAGCTACCTTGAACCAGTCCCACTGCCTGGGCCTTCCCTGGCTGTCTCACTCTGTTTCTCTCCGGCACACATTTGCTTATGCACAGCCCTCTTGCCCTTCTGCTTGCCTATACTCTGTCAACTGAAAGGCCTTCCTAAGCGCTGGATGCCCATACTCCACATTTGCCCCGCTCTCCCGCTTGTCCACTTGTCCGCAGTCCTCTTGTCCGCAGTCCTCTGTAGGGCCGGCTATAGGCTTGCTCCACCCACAAGCTTCCCTAGCCTTCATTCTTTCAACTCTCCATCTGAACTTTTCTCCTTCCCTCTCCCAAACTGCTGGCTCTCCCCACGGGTGCCTTTTATCTTCATCTGCTTCCTGCCTGCCTTCTCGGTTCACCATCTAGCACATACAGCCAGCTATCATCAAAGCAGAGGCCTGGCGTAGGCAAAAGATGCATATTGAGCAGGTCACTCGGGTTTGTTCATAGGTACTTTTTTCTCTCATAAAGTGTGGGCAGATCTCTGGGTCCCTTCACTATTGCTCTGCTACAGACACGTTTTGTAAAGTGGTGGCGTGATGCGGTGGGAGGAGGTGCCTTAGTGTGCCTATGCTGAGGCACCCCGTCCCAGGTACCGGTTATACGATGGGTTTAGTATAAAGTGAAGTTTATTTTGGGAGTAGAGGTAGACAAAGAGATGGGAGAGAGGAGGCACCTTCCCATGACAATCCTATGACCGTTGTAATGTCATTTTTCTGGTTTTCGTTACTCCTACATGTAAAAAAGCTTAAACTAACTCCCGGAGCCTTCCAACAGGGCTTCTGGAATTCTTTGAGTTAACAATATACGGTACTATTTCCCATTATTCACTCTTGTTTTTGAGCACATGGTGGAAATTTCAGAAAATACATAGTATATAGTATTGCTGGGGCTTTCAAAACAGGAAGATAATGAGTTCTAGGGCAGCCTGGGTTACATAAAGAGTCCTAGGCCAGATCTGTTTAAATAAGGAGACTGCCTAGAAGCAAGCAAATAAACCAAATCCATCTATCTTTTATATAAGCAAAAGCCTTTGCAGGTTCTAAAAGTCAGGCCTAGTGATGCACACCTTTAACCTGAGCACTCCAGAAGCAGAGGCAGGCAGACCTCTGTGACTCAAAAGCTAGCCTGGTTTAAATGAGTTCCAAGGGGCTACATAGTGAGAATCTGTCTCAAAACAACAACCAAAAGCAGGGCGTCTTTAATCTTAGCACTGAGGAGGCAAAGGCAAGTGGATCTGTAAATTGGAGGCCAGCCTGGGACCCGAGCTAATACAATAGGACTCCAGACAATGCTCACTTACGGACGACCCCTGCCCGCCCAGCAGTAACTGGCCTGCGGGCACTACAATAAGCGCCCGGGGTTCTCTGTGCAGGCCTCGCCCAGCCCTCATGACGTCACTGACCCGTGCCAGCCAATCAGCGCCGCCTGGTTCTAGCTGAGCGCCCGTGCCTGCGGGAGGCTCTGTGGCTTCTGTAGTGACCCTGCTGAGCTACCATACCTCACGCCTCCGCGCTCAACGTCCGCGTCGCCGTTCTGCGCCGCCGCCATGGCCGACGTGGAGGAGGGCGAGGAACCCTGCGTCCTTTCCTCTCACTCCGGGAGCGTAGGCTCCAAGTCAGGAGGGGACAAGATGTTCTCCCTCAAGAAGTGGAACGCGGTAGCCATGTGGAGCTGGGACGTTGAGTGCGACACCTGCGCCATCTGCAGGGTCCAGGTGATGGGTAAGCGATGCACACGAAGCCAGGACCGCGGTGCGGCCTGCTGGGCTGCCCTCGCCGGCGAGTGCTGGGCCGGGCAGCCAGACACTGGACTCCTGGGCAGCCAGACTCCTGCTGGAGGTGGGCGTGGCCTGGATACCCACGGGGAACTTCCGGGTTTGCCTGAGTAGCCCAGCGGCCAACAAATCTCAGCGGATCCTTCTCGTGGATCTGAGGGTTGGGACTTTTAATGTTTTTGAGATGCTCTCACGTTCCTCAGACTGGATTAGAGCTTGCCCATTTACCCGAGGTTGGCTTTGAACCTCCTGCCTGTACCTCCCAAATTCTGGAAATTGCAAGCCTACGCCACTATGCGGATTTTGTCATAACCGAAATGATGCTCAGCTGTTTGCCTCCGGATGGACTCGGTGCTGCTACTTGGCTGGCTTTTACATTTTAGTTTGACAAGACGAATCAAATAGAACTTTTCCTGTGATGAAGCAAGGGCCAAGAATTGCTTGACTCAGAAACTTCATCTTGCTCCCTTCCCTCATAGAGTACCATTTTTTTTTTTTAGAGGAAACACTACCCTGCTCTTTCGTGCCTTTTCGAAGAACCTTCTTTCGCAAACAGTCGTCTGTTGAAGTATTTTGAACGAAAATATCAGACCAAATGAAACGTATCAAAACAACTTAATCTAGTAGAGTTTTACGTAGTTAGAGCTCGGTCCATCTTAAAAAGAACCTGTCTCTTTATTCTTTCATTCTTCCTTTTTTTTTTTCCAGACAGGGTTTCTTTGTGTATCCCTGGCTAGTTCTGGAACTCTGTAGACCAGCCTGGGATCCACTTGCCTTTGTCTCCCTAGTGCTGGAATTTAAAATGTATGCCACCACTCCCAGGCTCTGTACTTCTTTTTTAGAAAGGTTCTCTCTCAGTAGCCAGGCTGTCTCCTGATGCTTCCTCCTCCCAAGTGCTGGAATTACTGAAATGAACCACCGAGGCTAAGGCATGCTGAGGATTTAACCCAGGGCTTCCTTCATGTTAGGCAGACTCCCAGCTTAGCTGCATTCCCAGCCTGTCTCCCAGTGTGTTAGTTAATAACAACACTCTAAAGGCTGGAGCCGGGGGACAGCAGTGCATTGAGACCAGCCTGGAACAAAACCAAAGCCAGGGACTGGAGAGATGTTTCCACAGTTAGGAGCACAGGCTGCTCTTACAGAGGACCTGGGTTCCATTTTCCACACCACATGGCAACTCACCACCCTGTAACTCCTGTTACAATAACTCCAGCACCCCCATTATGGCACTTGAGGGAATTAGGCACATTTGGTATGCAAACACAGATACAGGTAACATAAACATAATTTTAGATTACTGTGAGAATGCTTTACAAGGTGATGGGGCAGGGGTAGTTGAAATAGATTTCTGTAGTTTGAAAATGTGTGCCTTTCTTGGCATTGAGATTCGGATGTACCGTCTTTGTCTTTGGACTTGTTTCACAGGGAATTTTCAACAGGATTCCCAAACTTTACTTTTTACATTTAATTGTAGACTCAGACATTAGTTTCTAAATATCTGATTTGACTAAAACACTAAACTACAGCTGTTCCCCTCTTTGCCTTTGCTTGAGCTGTAATTTCCACTTTAGGGTTGAGTGTGGTGGTACCTGTTTGAAATACCAGCACTCGGGAGGCTGAGGCAGGGGGGTTACTTTTGCAGCACAAGTTTTGCTTAATTTTATTCTGGCCAGGTTTGGTGGTATCTTTAATCTCAGCATCTGTGTTTTAGAGGACAGCCTGGTCTACATAGCCAAGGGCACACTATCTTAAAAAACAAATAAATAATGAATAAATCTTAAATAGCTTTAATTTTAAAAACAGACTTTCCAACGGGAAGTGTTTTTTTTTGTTTTTTGTTTGTTTGTTTGTTTGTTTTGTTTTTTCTTTTCCAACAGGAAGTTTTTAAAGGATTTTTCCTTTGAAAGGAACATCATTCACAGAATTATTTCTTTGACCCAGGTGTGGCAAATCTCTCACTAGAGCACTCCAGACCGGAGCATCTCAGCATGTTAATTCACGAGCATCCTTGTCCATAGAAAATCCAGGCTAGACAAGATTTAAAAAAAAAAGATTTAAAAACATTTTACTTGGAGATTGGTTTTGAGAGGCAGATTTTTAAAGATATGTATGAATACTATTTGCAAGCATGCCTGCATGACAGAAGAGGACATCAGATCCCATTATAGATGGTTGTGAGCCACCATGTGGTTGCTGGGAATTGAACTCAGGACCTCTGGAGAAGCAGCCAGTGCTTTTAACCGATGAGCAATCTCTCCAGCCTTTTTTTTTTTTTAAATCATCATCATTATTATTATTTATGAGATTATATTTATTACCATGTTGTTAATGGTGCATACTTTAATCCCAGGACTTGGGAGCAATAGGTAGGTGGATGGATGTCTTGAGTTCCAGGCCAGCCTAATCTACAAAGTGTTCCAGAACAGCCAGGGATACATGAGAAACCCTGTCTCAAAATAAAAACAAGATTAATTTAGTGTGTGTGCAGAAGTGTGGAAACTTAAGGACAGTGTTGGGGAATTGATTCTTTCCTTCTGCCATTGGGTTCCAAGGCTTGAACTCAATCAGGCATGTCTATGCCTTAACCTTCTGAGCAGTCTAGCTGGCTAGAGATTGGCTTTTAAATATATATTTATAAGTTGTTTTCATTTATTTTTTTTTATTCTGGGCATGGTGGCACACACCTTTTAATCCCAGCACTTGGGAGGCAGAAGCAGGTGGACCTTTAATGTACATGTATGGAAGGTATGTACATATGTGTGTAGGTGCCTGTGGATCCATCTGGAGCTGCAGTTACAGGCAGTCGTGAGCGCCCTGGGCTAGGCACGAGGACTAAGCTTGCATCCTGTTTGAGAGCTCTTACACTGAGCCATCTCTCTGGCCCTGGCTTTTAATAGTTGTAAAGTTACTTATTTGCCTTCTTACTTGAAAGTTAGCCTGTTACCCAATTGCAGTATGGGTAATCTCCCTTGGTTCCACCTATACCCTACAGGGAGGAAGGAGGTCACCCATACAGCCCGAGTAGAGTGCCTGATTGTGATAACTTCAGAGATTTCACACCGCTGTCTAGAGCCTTGATTTCCTACTTTACTAAAAAGATGGCGGTTCATACCAAAAAGTTCTGGACCACCAGAACTAGAGGCGGGCACAGGGATCAGCACGCCTGCTGGCTTGCCTGCCTCACTTCTCCGTTTCCTAGTGAGCGCTGTGAGGGACAGCCTTGGCTGTTTTGTCATTCCTGGCCATAAATCCTAGAAGAGTAGATGTTGGTAACTATGGATAAAGCCTGTGCAGGCAGCTTTACATCTATATAGAAGAGGCCAGGATGGCTGTGGGAGTTTTGTTTGTTGAAGGTAACAGTGTGTGGAAAGAAGCAAACGCCTGTGCTTGAGCCAGAGTAAGGAGAGGCAGGAAGCAGTCTTCAGCTCCACAGTTGCTATTTTTACAGAATTCTTTTTTATTTTTTTCCTTTTGGACAAATCACTCTAGTTAGCAACACAGTGAGAGGGGACAGGACTAAGGACTAGTTCTGGGGCTGGAGAAATGGCTCAGGTTAAGAACACTGGCTGTTCTTCCAAAGGACACAGGTTCAATTCCTAACATCCACATGGCAGCTCACAACTCTCTGTAATTCTAGTTTCAGAGGATCTGACACCCTCACGAAGACATGCATGCAGTCAGAATACCAGTGTACATAAAGAACGTAAAGGGGGAGGAGCTAGTCCTGAACTCACAGCTGTCCTACTGCCTCAGCCTCCTTAGCTCACTAATGGCAGTGGGCAGGAATCACCACACTCACATTTTCTTCTTCAACCTCTTTCTCTTTCTGGATCAGAGAGATGGCTCTGTGGTTAAGAGCACATACTGCTCTTGCAGAGGACCTGGAATCAAACCCTACCACCGATGTTGAGTGCCTCACAGACTGCCTGAACCCAGCTCCAGGGTACCCAGCACCTCTGACCTTCAAGGGCCCTGTAGCACATGTACAGAACCACATTTAGACCCATAAAATAATTAAAAACAAAAGGCTTTTCTGTTGATTGGAGCTTTCTTTTACCTAATTTGGACTACTAATACAGTTAATGAATTTCATTGGCTCCTAAAGTATAGTACTGATTGAATTTTAGAAACTACTAAATTTAGAAATTTAGAACTCCTTAGGTTCCCATTCTTAGCACTTACTCCTTAGTAATTTATCCAAGTACGTTGTCAATGCTGAGTGAATGCACTGAGGATTAGGGATTCAGGTCATCCTAGGCTATATAGTTTGAGGCCAGCCTGAATCACAACATGAAACCCAGTCTTAAAAACAAAGGAAAGGAATTTTCTTATGAAAACAAAAATCCTTTAATTTTGAAGTAGATTCTATAGTCTCATAGTTTATAAATTAAGGGAGTATATGTGGAAACTTCGTTATTGGACAGGGGCACGTGCCTGTGATGCTAAACCTTTGAGGTAGAAGATAGAGGCAGGATTCTAAGGTGGTCGGTCATCCACAGTATGGCAGGTCAGGTTAGTGGACAGCTGGGCTATGTGAGCCCCTATCTCAAAAACAAAACCTTTAATAGTTCCTGTAGTATCCTTCGAGGTCCTTATATATATGTAGTCAAATAATCAGTGCATGGCTATGGCTTTATTTACAGTGGTTTCTTGAAAGTAAATACCCCTACAGTTGGTCCATGTGCGGGAGCAGGCTGTGGGCTTAAAATGACTTTTGGCATCTTTGTCTCCAGTGACTCCTCTGGTGCAGTTGCCAAGCTATCTTGTCATAAGAACTTGTAAGATCAATAGCCCTTGTAAAACAGGTGAATTAGTAGAATGCCACTTATTTTATTTCTCTTTAAGTAGTTATTTTTAGAAGAGAAGTTAATAATATAAGACTTCTCTTCATCTCTGATCTTGGGGCTTTTGTTTGACTTTGAAGGTCTGGGTTTCCAGTGTTGCCTCCTGAACTTCAGATGACATTCGCTTTGTTTACTTTCAGATGCCTGTCTTAGATGTCAAGCTGAAAACAAGCAGGAGGACTGTGTTGGTATGTGGTAATTCTTTCTCCTGCCTTTCCGATTAAAGGTTTTTCTTCTGTCTCTGTGAGAATGTTTGGTTTTGTTTGGTTTTTTATTTTTGGTTTCTTGTTTTTCGAGACAGGGTTTCTCTGTACCTAGCTGTCCTGGAATTCACTGTGTAGACCAGGCTGGCCTTGAACTCAGAAATCCACCTGCCTCTGCCTCCCAAGTGCTGGGATTAAAGGTGTACACCACCACTGCCTGGCTGGAAATGTTTGAATTTGTAATTAAAATTGACTTTATTAAACTGGCTATGGTAACCCAGGCCTGTAAATCCAGAAGTAGAGAGGTTGAGGCCAGCTTTTGCTATGTAGTGAGACCTGTTTTTTCAAAAACAAAAAAGAAAAAGAAAAGAAAGTGAGAAATGGCCTTGTCAGTACATAAAAAATAAAATGTTTAGGACAGTTAAGGGTTGGTGAGATGGCTCAGTAGGTAAAGGTACTTGCCTCTCAAACCTGATGAGTTAAATTTGGTCTCTGGAACCCATTTAAAGATAGAGAGCCTGACTCCCCAAAGGTCTCTGACCTCCACAAGAAGCTGTGGCGTGCAACTCTCCCCTCCCCCTTCATATACACAATTATAAATAAAAATAGTTTTAAAAACAAAATCGGATTAAAATTAAAAGGGAAAGAATTCTAACAGAAGACTTCATGGTAAAACATCTTTTTAATAAATAAACTGTTTTAGTTCTCAAAAGATTTTAATAAAATAAATTTGTAAGTTCTTTTATTATTTTAATTAAGCCTTGGTTATATATTTTATTCATAGTCATGATAAATGTTTTGCTAAGCAGAAAGAAATACTATCTCCTAAAACTACTGAACCAAGACTGGTGCCACACACCTGTACCCCCAGCAGAGGCAGGACCATCACTGCAAGTTGGACACTAGCCCAGTCTGTCATAGCAACTTTCAGCCAGTCGGCTGTGCAGCGAGACCCTGTCTCAAAAACAAAATGAAAAGGAGGAAGTAGGACAGAAGGGAGGGAAAGAAGAACCATTTCAAGACCTGAGTGTGGTGGCTTGCGTCTGTAAACCAGCACCCTGCAAGGCTCAGACGGGGCGCTTACCATGGTCTACATAGTTCTAGGGAGCCTGGGCTATAGATGGATGGATGGATGGATGGATGGATGGATGGATGGATGGATAGATAGATAGATAGATAGATAGATATAGCAAGGCTCTGTCTCAGTAGAGAACTCTGGTCAAGGAGATGCCTCTCTGTAACCATTCTGCAGATCTAATTGTCAAATGAAGTGCTACACTGCTTGCTGGTGTGGCCAACTTTGGGTATGATTAACTGCTTTTGGTTTTTGGCCTCACTGTGTGGCCTTGACTTGTAACTTGCTATGTAGACAAGGCTGGCCTTTGAGTGATTATCTCCCACTGCCTTTCAGATTCTGGAACTGTAGGGTGTGACTACACCCTGCTGGATGGTTTAGCATAATTCCTCACTTAGAAAAACCACCAGTTCCCTGGGTGTACGGCAGCTGATGTTCATGCCTACCATCTGTTTATAATAGCCAGCTATATGTTAAGAGCCTGTAAAACATTGTATTTTGCTAAATAAAAACCAGGAGGATGTTTTTCAATAAAAAGCACAGAAGATCTCCAAGGTTGCCCCTGACTGATGAGGTCTGGGACTCCAGCCGTTCCGGTCCTTTAATCTCCTGACTTAGGACAGCTGCTAGAGCTGTTTAGGAGTTGTGGCTTCACCCCAAAAACCCAGTGGCACATTTCTTAAATGTAAATACTTCTGTAACTAGAAAAAACATGTTTTGATCATAACTCTTTTCAGGATTTTGAGTCATGACTTTTCTTGGTTTTCAATTTTGTTATAATTTTTGTTGAACTTAGTAATTTAAAATTTTAGAATATTTACAATTTTTGTTTTGATAATTTCATATTAGCATATAATGTATGTTGATCTTGCCCACCCCCTGCTCGCCCCTGCCACTTCCCTGATGTCCCCTCTATGTGTCCCTTCCTGACTTCCTGTCCCCTAAGCTCAGCTGTTTAGATTGAACTGTGGCATGTCAGCTGATTTGTTTGTACATTTCTTTCATTGTCTAATTTTGATACAGACCTTGCTTTGTAACAAGTGGCCTAGGACTGAGCCCCTCCCACCCAGTGCTAGATCACAGGCACAGCCACCCACTCAGCTGTTCTCTCTCTTGCAGTAGTCTGGGGAGAATGCAACCATTCCTTCCACAACTGCTGCATGTCCCTGTGGGTGAAGCAGAACAATCGCTGCCCTCTGTGCCAGCAGGACTGGGTGGTCCAAAGAATCGGCAAATGAGAGGTGGCAGAGGCTCTCCTGGTGTGGTTGGTGACCCTGGACAACCTTGCCGTCAAGTTACTGGACAAAGACTAGACACTCCAGGGGATTCGTCCTTCAGATAGAAAGGATAGTGTGCGGCCTTTGAGACTCATCCAAGGCCTGCTTTATCATGTTGTTTAATGTTGGGAACTTCTCTACAACTAAGAAGATAATTTATTAAAAATGGCCTTTCCTACCTCTGGTGTGTGTGTGTGTGTGATACGTACTGCTTAGAAGAGCTGTAAGAGAGAGAACACCAGAAATTGAATGATCTCTGTTGTTTATCTGTCAGTTCATAGAGCTGAGAGAGCATTGTGTTCACAGAAGAACTTTGTCTGTGTTTATGCTTGAGGGTTAAAAAATAAATAAAAGAATGTTACAGTAACAAATAAAGTGCATTGAAAAGCTGACTCCTGCCCTCTGCTCCTGATACTTCTGTTGTTGGGAGAGAGGCCGCCAAGGTGTCTTCATTTGCTATAAATGAGGATCTGGCTCAGTGAAGACCATTAAATATGTTTAGAATCAAAATGAATTCAGAATTATAGAGGGTTTGAGGCCATGTCTGTCTCACTGTAGCCCTCGGACTGTGTCTCGTCCATCTACATTCTAGTTTCTCTGAAATTTTTGCTTCCGTCAGACCCACTAAAAGAATACAGGTAAATTTTTTCTAAATTTCCTAGGTACTAAAAGTATACAAATGTTTTTGATAATTTGTGTCTCTCATTGTGTAATTAACTATTCACAGATTTTTTTTTTTTTTTTTTTTTTTTACTTTTTCATAAAGGTAGTCATAGAATGTGAACCAGGCCTTTGGCTTTGCTGTGAAGATGGAAGTAGTCTCCCAGTCTTGTTCGTTAGGTGACTTTGACAGTTCATAAGTGGATCCTGGGGGGTGGTAATGTGTTGATGTTCCATCCAGGGAAGCTCTGACAAAGCCCTATTTATGCTACACGTCAGGATCTGAGGGTAGAGAGGAGGAGGGAGAGAAACAAAGCTTAGTTCTGATCTCCCCACCCTGCACGGGCATGACACCCCTCATCTGCACACCCATCCCAGAGTTCCGTACATACTGGCCTATCAGAGAAAAACATGTGGAGGCACTTTAGTTGCAGGTTCTAAAACGATTAAGCAAGGTTTTCTCTCGGAATAATTAAATAATGTCTTTAACTACATATTAGTAAATACTTAAAACTATAAAATATATATAAACAGCAGTTAGGCTCTTACACTTAAGTTGTCATAAGCAACTTCCTGTTGTCCAATGGTGGGTGAAGTGAGTTCCTGTGTGTCACATGGTACCCACCATCTCATAAGCTGCCCAACTTCCCGTCTCTCCACCGTCCAATCCCAAAAGCTCACACTTCTGACACTTGGTTTTGGAGGCAGGACTGGTTCCTGACAGAGGGCTATTTGTATGGTGCTGCCTCAGCCTCTTAGAGGCACCAGAATGGCAAAGGGATGAAAGAATTTCCTTAAAAGGTAAGGGTCTCTTTGTGCTGAAGATTGAACACAGTACCTTGCACTTACTACCTTTGCCCACGTGACTGATATCTAAAGAAGGCTTTATAGAGCCAAATGTTGCTCTGAAACAATAGCAGGGAGGCTGAAACAGGATCACAGCCATGGCTTATAGAGAGAGACCCTGTTAAACCACAGGGAAAGGTTACAGATTTGGATATAAAGAACATAGCACTTAAAGTAGAAATGTTTGTATTCTAAACCACTCTGTACTGAACATTTTATTGGTGTGCCAAAACACTGAAAGTGTTTGATGTTTGCATGAAGTTGCTCTAGCACTTTTACATGGTCTGTAACTCACACTGGCCCCAAACTCTTGATCCTTCTCTCTCGAAGCCTTGTATCACCATACCATCTTTATATCATCCTTTCTCTCGTGGCTAGGTTTTGTACAGCAAAGTATGTCCCCCAGGGAAGTAGCTGGGACTTAACAGGGGACTGACTTAGGTTTGTCACCTCTCTATGCCTCAGTTTCTGTGTGTGGTAATCCAGCATCAGTGGATTGTTTGAAGGCCACTGACTGTTGCTTTTCTCCTTGGTGTAATTAAATACTTAACAAAGCACCATGAGGAAGGGTTTATTTTGGCTCACAGTCTGAGGAGATAGTTTGTCATGGCAGGCAGAGGAGGCAGTAGATGAATGCTGTTGCTTTCTGCTTTGTATTCAGTACAGAGCCCCAGCACATGGGATGATACTGCTACAGCTAGGGTGGGTGTTTCCACCTCAGCCCCATCTAGAAACTCCTCACTCTGGTGAGTCCCAAAGTGTGGCTCCTAGGTGATTCTAGAAGCTGTCAGGTTGACAGTATAAACAACACAGGGTAATATGTAATAAGTAACCTAAGGAGTCTGGTGCTGGCAAGGGCTGTTGACCTTTGACATCAGTGAAAGCTTTAGTACAAGTGTGTTCTGTTATAGGATAAAGCCCTCCTAACGTTTCTCAGTTTTAAAGGCAGAAGGCAGAGGAAAAAGTAAACTGTGGGTGTAACACGCAGCTAGGCCTTAACTACTTTCCAAATAGGTAACATGATTTTTAGATTTATATTAAGAAAAGGTTTTATACTGAAAGTTTGGAGGCCAGGTGTGGTGGCACACAAGGCAGAGGCAGGAGGATCTGTGATTTTGAGGTCAGCCTGGTCTATAGAGGGAGTTCCAGGACATCTAGGGCCACACAGAGAAGCCTTGTCTGAGAAAAAAAAAAAAAAAGTTTAGTTTCAGCCTTATTTGTTTGAGACAGGGTCCTGTGTACCCCAAGCTGCCCTTACACCTCTGTCCTGTCTCTACTTTTCAAGTGTTGTACCATTATCCAGTTGATCTTAGCACGCATACTGCCCTTCTGCTGCCTGAGGTGCGCCTGCTGGATCGCCTGCACGGTGGTCGAGAAGCCTCAAGTGCTGGTGTGTGACAGCAGCAGCAGGTGGTGCCCTCTATGTCACAACTCAGGCCTCTCCTAGAACCCCTAGTGGTACAAATGTCTCCAGCTCTGTGTGTGCCCAGCAAGTTGGGAATCCTTAGCCCTTGGCAGTAACTGGAATTGCCACTTCCAGGTAGGTCTAAGTACCAAGATTGCTCAGCCACTGATGACTGACAGCATTGTAGTTCTCAGGTGTCAACTGTCCCTTTGCCCTGAAGGCTTGAAGGTCTCTGGAGCTCCTTCAGCAACCAGAACCTGCAGTGTCCTTTCAGTGGCAACTAATGGCCTTCTGTCCTTCAGCCTGGGATGTGGTCTCCCTACTTGCACCAGCTTGGCTCATGCAACCGAAGTAGGCAAGAAGGGACCAGGTGAGAGCCTTTTATTAATAGAAATAGTGGCAGTAACCAAGGGGCAGCACAGAGTCATGTCTGCCAACCAGCTCAAGGAGTGAGCTAGACAAAGCTGCTTATAGCTAGCTAGGGAGCATCCACCAGACTTGAACACTTCGAATGCAAAAACATCTGGAATTTGCTTTTAAAAGGTGAGGCTGAGACTTGAGCTAGGTCAACAGCAATTCTCTCATTTCTCAGGATGTCTGTAGAATGCAAGCAGTGGATGCTGGTTGTATTAGGGTTCCCAAGAGTTGCAGAACTTGTGGAACGTCTCTCTATATTGAGGGGATGTATTGTGAAGACTTCATTTGTAGTCCGACTAGCCCAACAATGGTCAGCTGTGAATGGGAAGTCCAGGAATCTAATATTGTTCAGTCCCATGAGGCTAATTGTTTCAGCTGATCTTCTGAGAAGTAGGTTCCAACAGATGTGCTGGGAAGCGCAAGTAGTTGAAGAGCGGATCTTCCTTCAACCAATGTCCTTATGTAGGCCTCGAGCAGAAGGTGTGGCCCATGTGTATACCATATCTGGATCTGGGACTTACTTTGTCCCAGGCTGACCTTGAACTCAGAGATTTTGCCTCAGTCTCCTGGGATTAAAAGTATGTACTACCTTGCCTGGGCCTAAGCTTTTCATAGCCACTATGCCTCAAGATCTCCATGCCAAGACCCAGATCAGAAGTGTCTTCCAGCCTCAAGATCGGGACTAATCCAATTGTGGATTGTAGTTCATTCCAGATATAGTCAAGTTGACAACCAGGAATAGCCATCACACTGGCATACAGGTAGACCAGCTAGTTGTTGACTTGCTCAAGGCAGTCAGTGCAGTAATAGAATCTAGCTACTTTCAATTTTACAGAATCAAACTGCCCTACCATCCAAGTCTGCCTACAGGAAAATGAGCATCAGGGTGTTCACAGTAAGATCTTAAGTAACTTACATTAACGTTAATAATTAGTTCAACAAACTTTAACACTGTTTAGCTCCTGATGGATGCCATGGGGAGAATGTGCTCCATTTCTCTGTTCCACAGAGCTGTCAACAGTTATGCAAAATGATTGAGTGATGTGTGTCCCTGTGTGTCTCTGGGTGGATATGTGCACCTGTGTGCAGGTGTCTGCCAAGGCCACAAGGGTGTGTCAGATGCCAAGGGTGTGGGTGCTAGGAACCAAACTCAGGTCCTCTGGGAGAGTCGCAGGCACGCTTGTGCACTAAGCATCTCATTGGCCTGAGACTTAGGTTCTTTTGGTGAATCTTGGACTCTCAGTGCTTTTTCTCTGCCTTTTCTACTCTTATACTCATAGTAATGTGTTATTTATTGCATGCCTACTACCTGTGAGGCTGTACCATACTAATAGGATGTTTAAAAAGTATTTTATCTTCAGAGGGCACAGGAAATGTTATGGAGTACTGACTTTGGAACTCACCATTGGTTTGGAAGACACCATTTCCAAACAGGTCGATGAGTGCCAGAGTCGACCTCTAGCCTGGCCTGCACATAGATTCACTTGTTTGTACTCAGCTTTTCTGTATTTTTACTGAAGCACCAAGAGTGGTGGGCAATTGTTCTGATGTGAGGGTGCAGGTGGCTGAGGCGTGAAGACTGCCATGGGTTCAGAACTGCTTGGGCCATATAGTGAGACTTTGTCTCAGAAAGATGGCTCAGCAGGTTAAGGTTGCTGTTACCAAGCCTACCAGTGGCAATCTGAGTTCGGTCCTGGGACCCACATAGAGAAAGGAGAGAGATGACTCCTTCACATACATTCCAGCCACACACAACAATACGATTAACTAAAAACAGATGAAAACGAAAGGCCCCGACAGTTTCAGACAGTTACAATATCGATGGGTTTGCACGATGAGCTCTAATGCAGGGTGGTGAGAACTGGGAGAGTTCAGAGTCTTAAGAAGAGGGAAATATTTGTCTGTCTACACATGCCAGACAGCTGGGTGAGGTCCCTGAGAAACAGCTTGTGACCAATGAAGCAGAGCCTCACCAGAGACCCACTCACCAGACACTAACTTCAGACTTGCCAATCTCCAGAATGATGAGAAGGTAAGCAGGCTGTCAAAGTACCCAGCCTGTGG